CCAAATGATATTATGACCAAATTTTATATAATTCAAAGGAAGAGCACGAGTTTGAATTTTTACAATTGCATTAAAACCAGTAAAATGTAATATATATTATTCTGGTAAACTTATTATCAAATTCCATGAGCGTCACAATAGTTAATTCTTCAATATATTACCCTAAGGTCAGGGGTTTGAATCACCTCCCTTATTTCATTTAATTTTGGCAAAAATTCTAGAATTTAAAACATTATAAAATAAAATCGTTGGGAAATTTCAAAACAGAGACCTCTCATGTCAATATATCGGTTCCGGTGGATCCAGCACAAGCGGCCGTTAGGCTCGTCGGGTGCTTGGTCCTCCTCTGCCCAGCTCCCTTCCCATTTCCAATCCCTATAAGAAATCTTGTCCACATAGCACTGCATTATCGACTCACGTAACCTGAAAACTATTTCTCAAAACAGAAAACCTGAAAACATATTTCATTCGAGATTTTGATTTATTCTTTTATAATGTCTTATTCCGTAAAATTTGATTATGCCGTAAATTATAACAATTTTATGTTAATATATTATTAAATAATATTTACATTATATTTTACTTTTTTCTGTATTCATTTAAATATATATTTTTTGTATTTTTTTTAATGTAAATAACTATTAAGAGCTTGAATATTTTTTAGATTTTATTTTATAGGATTTTTCAGAATTCTCTTTTTATCAAAATTATTATTTTTAAAATTTTCAGTTAAAATTTTATGTAAAATTTTATTTAAACTATTTTTACACATGTTTAGAGTGTTTTTCAAGTTTTTACAGAAAACACTCAAATGTAAAAAACGCATTTCGAGTTTATATTATAAGTTTAGTATAATACATTTTCGAAAGTACTAGATCAAACAACTTTGGAGTATTTTGCAAAATAAAAAAATTGAAAAATACCTAACCAATCTCACCTAACTTTTTATTTAGGAAAACATTTCAACCCCTTCCATTACTACCATTCAAGTCTCTCTCTCTCTCTCTCTCACGCACGCACGCACGCACTCACATGCGCGCCGTTTTTTCCTCAATTACAAGAAGAATAAAGGAAGGAAAGAAGAAGAAGATGCACTAGTCGATATTTCTATTTCATTCAAGGCATTTTTTTTTTTTTTGGGGCATTTAATCCTTCAAGCTAAGAGCATTTCTAATAAATTCTTACTTCTCTTATTCTTTCTATTTCAGATAGCCAATGTATAATTTACCTAATCCAATAAAATCTCTATCTGTTAAAATTAAAGAAGAGATTGTATTACTCTCCAAATATGGAGAGACAACTCACCCCCTAAATCTTGTTTTTTTAATGCTTTTCACATGAGATTGCTCGCTTAATAAAATTTTATCAATTTTTCAACCACACACTTTTTCGAATTATCGTTAATACTTTTATCAGAAAAAAATTTATCTTACAATTACCCCTAAGTCAAGTCATCTTTTCCCAGCTTAAATTTAACTACAATTAATTAGTGTCCAACCCAATCAATTCACTAAAACCAAAATTTAATTAATAACATTTATGAAACACAATAAACTGGAAACCACATTTTTCTAAAATAATATCTTAGTCCCTAAAATATAAAATTGCAACAAGTCTTTAAAACTTCAAATAATGACTTTTAGAATTATAAATTACCCTCTAAATTTTTATTTTTTTTAAATAAAATCCGAAACGTGCACTTAATTTTAAATTGTTGTTTGGTCCCTAAACTTCTTAAAAATAGCAGCGAAGCCCAGTGACTTGTTGTAACCAAGGACCCTTCTAATCATTAATTGTTTTTATAAAATCATATATCAATTTCATAAATAGATAGCATGAAATATTAGAGGGTGCTAAAGACTTGTGAAAGAAATATTTATTTTTCTTCTTTGTGTTTTCCTTCCGTTTGCTCAATTTTCTTGAGGCTAAAACTTAATAAATCATTTGTATGATAGTAGTCAATAGCACCATGCTACCATGATGCCAAAAGTTAAGCCATTGGTCAGGGATGGATCCAAAACCGGATTACAGGTCGGGCTAATACGTGAAAAAAAAAAAATTATACAAGAAATTTTTTTTTTACATAATTTTTTTTTTTCTACTAAAAAATTTAAATGGCAATGTTCAAGAAATAGAGGTTAGGCATTCCGCGATCGGTGCCAAAAATTGAGCGATGGGTACAACCCATGCTCAAGAAATAGAGATTAGGTTGAGGACGATGATATAATAATTTTTTCTGAACTTTTTAGATTGTAAAAGATTTTACTTTTATTATTTTATGATAATTTTAGAATAAATAGTTATCTTAAGTTGACTATTGAGTAAATTATATATATATAAATGAAATATTTTATTTTTCGAAAGTACGATTTTACTTGGGAAGAAAAATATATAGTTGTAAATATAGAAATAAAATTATGTGAAATCTTTTCGAAACAAAATCATACATATCTATTGTCGTATTATGTCTTTTTTATCGGGTGTTTTGTCGTATTATGCCGTTTTGAACTTAAAAAGCGTAGTTATCGTCTTATAATTAAATCATGTATAGGGTATTTTGTTGTATTATGTCTTTTTTATCGGGTATTTTGTCGTATTTACTTCTTCTTTTTTTCTTTTTTTCACGATACCTAGATTTAAAATTCAGAGCATACAACCAAAAAAAAAAACGCAGAAAAGAAAGAAAGGGAGAGAGATGAATAAAAGACTAAAAATGATGGAAACAAGCACAAGATTTATTTATTCTTTCTGGCATGAGAACAAACAGTCCACAAAGAGGCAGAAAAAGTAAACATAAGAAACTTAAGCATCCAAATTAAGCTGCATCAGATTGGATCATCATGTCTACACTGCTGTGATAGTATTGCCATGCATGTCTCCAAAAGTGTTGATACCATCTATGAATGTACTTCCAGTCATCAGAGAAGCAAAATTCAGGACTGATCCATTTTGTAAAATGTCATCTGTAATCGAAGGATCATAATTCTCACTCATACCCTTGTCTTTGCCTGCAGATAATTGAAGATCTTCTTGTTCCTCTAAATTCTCATCATTGTCTATCTCAAAGCGTTTAAGATTTAACATCAAACACCCATCTTCTCTAATGGATTCAAAGTACTCATAACTTTTCACAATCTCCAGTCGAAGAATCAGCCTACCATCACAATAGTTTCTAGAGAGATAGCATGGATTTTGGATCGAAAGGTTGCCCATGGGCGGTGGCAGTGTAGGAATTGGCGGTGGATAGTCTTTCTTCTTTTCCGTTCGCCTTGTTTGTTTGAATTTGTAGGATCTTGTAGCTTCTTTTGGAAAAATATCTGCTTCGGTGCTCATGAATACACCACTATCAGTCCCAAGTAGATCACCGTTGGTTGATTTGGCCCAAATCGACCAGGATTCAGATGCTGATGATAGAGATAGAGAATTTGGTAGCGGTTTGTAAAAATGGAAGATTCTACCATCCTTTTGAGTTATCTTTTGTGCCGCATCTTTGATTGTAGAAGGCAAACTTATCACCCACATCAGAATCCATTCCACAACTGAAATTACAATAAGAAGATTGAGCAGAATGCTATCCTTGTTCAGTCCCATGGTTTGGTGCAACAATGGAAAGAGCAGTGGCCATCTGAAATTTGCATTCCTCCCATATTCATAAACACAATACAGATTGACAGCTTCACAACATGCCAAAAGCATAAAATGATAACAAACAAAAGTTTAGGAGTGAGCTTTTGGAAGTTCTAAGCATGCAACTGAGATGTGGCATGGTTGATGTAATTCTTGTTTATGCATCCGCCGATTCCATTTAATGAAGGGGAGAGGTCGAATTCAATTCTCTTATGTATGATAGAGTTGAAAGTATTCTACCCTAGTTAATGTGGATTTTTGTGATTCCACCATCTTCAATTTAATGGCCTCCTAATGCAGTACCCAAATCGAACAAAAATTTGACAAATTTACGATCGTCTTTAATATCAGTTGTCAATTTGAAGTGAGATGCCGCATTTATAATTCACGCTCACGTGTTTGATAAGTTGAACTAAGCCCAAATGATTTCTAATCTTTAATTGTCCTTATAAAATTATAATCGCAATTTCATAAAATAGATAATAAGCATGAAATATTGGATATTACAAAACTTTTGATAGAACTTTTTATTTTCTTTCATTTTGCTCAATTGGACTTGAGGCTAAAATCATATTTTTCTGCTAATTTAGTTATTTATGACATTAGTCTATGTCACCCTGGGTGTCGAAGGTTTGAAAATTTCTAGCACTCTCAAAATATAGAAGCATTAACATGTATATAATGTATCCATGTTTGGATCCCAATTAAACATTGGGTCCCACCATACTGGGTCTCATCTATCTAATACATTTATCAGTTATTTAAAAAGTGAGAGATTATGGAATACTTCATAATTTGGGACTACAAAATTATTTTACATTAAAAGTTAAGGGATTGTTCTCTTTGTATTTCAATTTTGTGTTTTGAATTTATTTTTAGGTTCTATGTTTTGAGTGTCCATCTTGAGATGGTTGAAAATGTGTTCGTTTTGACATTTTGAAAAGACTCAAAACGCGTTTTGAAAATTTTAGTTTGATTATAACTGAAAACACTCAAAACGACAAATTTGTTGTTTTGTGTTTTCTTTGTAAAATTTTAACTTGTTTTCAAAAATGCGTTTTCGAAAATAGGAAAGAGAATGTGTTTTCACTATTTTGGAAAATCGAAAACAGAAAACGGCTTGAAAATGGTAAAGAGAACGGACTTAAGCATTTGGGACAACAATGTTCAAGAAATAGAGGCTGGGGACAGCGACAACAATAGTTCTCATTTTTTTATGATTATAGACAAATCATATTAAAACTCTAATTTATTTCTTATGTTACTTTTATAATAATAGTTTAAGGTTGACTATTGATTTCATTATATTATTAGAAGGTTGTATGTTTATCTTCGTTTTTTAGTAAAATTGTGCCACATTTAGTGGCTGAAAGCTAGGAAAAATACATATATATTATATATGAAATCGTTCTTTAAATGTACGAATTTTTCTTAGGTTGATTATTAAGAAAAAAATGTAGTATCATAAATATAGAAATATATTTATACGAAATCTTTTCAAAATACGCACCATACATATCTCTTATTGTATTATGTCTTTTTTATCGTTTTCTTTGTCGCATTACGTCTGTTTTATCGATCGTTTTATTTGTCGCATTACGTTTGTTTCATCGTTTTATTTGTCATATTATGTCTTGTACTTAAAAAGCTTAGTTATCGTCGCATTATGTCGTGTGGTATTGTATTTTCTACTTTATGTTTTCACGATACCTAGATTCAAATGTCAAAACATACATTGAGCATAACACGTAATCATTTTTTCAACTTATTTTGAAAGAGCTAATTAAAGAGAGTGAAACTAAAAAAGAAAGACTGTATGTACTTCCAGAATTGGAAGAAGCTAAACTTACCTTAGCAGAAAGATGTTGCTGGCTATGAATATCTTACGTCGGCCGCACGGCTCGTGAAAAAACGAGCCACGAGCCGCTCGGACTCGTCTCATTGTTTTGACGAGCGGCTTGTGGGCTCGTAAAAAATGTGAAAAAAAATTTTAAAAAAAGATTAAAAAATATTAAATTTTTTTTTTTGACGAGCGGCTCGTGGGCTCGGCTCGGCCCAACAAGCTCGGCTCGACCCTCGAGCTCGACTCATGCTCGAATGAGCTTGAGCTTGACTCGTCAAATGTCACTTTGACAAGCCGAGCGCATGGGTAGAAGGGTTGAGCTGAGCCATTGCCACCACTACCCGAATTATTTTTGCCAGAGCTTCAAGTTTCGGCTCGTGGCTCGGCTCGACTCGTTTCATTGACACCCCTAGACTATATCAGTCTTCTTGGAAGATTTTGTACAATTTTTTTTTTCTATAAATGACCGTGCATTTTGTCAAATAATGACAAAAAATGAAAGAAAAGAGTTTCTTTTACACTTTGATTCCATTAATTCAATAATTTCTATGCGGGAAGAAAAAGAAAAAGAGCGTTGCTACACTTACAGAGAAAAAAAACTCACAAAAAACTTACAGACACACACATGGGGTGGGCCCCATTTTTTTGGGACAATTTTTAATTTTTGGGACAATTTTTAATTCACATGGGGCCATCCCCATGTGAGTGTCGTAAACATTCTATAAAAAATATTTCTGTACACTTATCATTTTCCAAAGAAAAATGAAGACAAAACACGAACAATTTATTATCCCAAATTTTATATAAACTCATACAAATTAGCATATTTATTAAAATTCGTATAAATTAATGGAAAAAGGAAAACGAATATATGTCTCAAATCTTGAAACTAGACTTCATTTTCAAACATTTTAACAAAAAATAATTAAACATCGGTAATTATAAAAAAGATAATAGCAATTTTAGAAAGAATGATGTTATCTAGAACTAGTGGTGCTAAAACACTAGTCTATATGACATTATGTGATATGGTCACTTAGATGTTATTAATTTAATTAAAAATTTCATTTAGTGATACATATTGTAACATCAGTAGTGCTAAATAGTATTACTCTTTTAGCCCCTGTTTGAATCACATTAAAATTTTCATTCTCATTCTTCTACTCATTTTCAACCACACATTCTTCAATAAAATAATATTTTTCATTACATCAATAACTTTTTTTTTCAACCGCATATTCTCCATCAATCTATTATTCCAAAATACATTCTTCCAAAATAATGTGGCTCAAACACACCCTTAGTAAATCTGGACCTACCAAGCATCGAAGCCTTAGGTTACTGCCTGAGTCGCGTAATACCTTGAGCTGCGGGTTTCCCGTTTGAACTATGCTATATGTACAACATTTTTGTACATTCACTTTGACAACCCCTTCACATGGGAATGGGCCCGCGATTGTGGGCCCCACCCCCATGTGAGGGGGTGTCAAAAAGGCGGTACATTCGGCATTTTTGTTTTCGCTTTGATATATGTACATGCATTCAAGACCATATTCGTCTGTTAAAACTCTAACCAACGAATGAGGTCCCTTAATTTTTACCTCCATAAGCTTTACAGAGCCCAAAATTTCAACAATTTAATAATTTCTTGCCATCTGAATCACTCTCTAACCCAAAGCATTCCACCATTGTTGATCACAGGGTCGAGTAAGGAGTCAGTCGATCCCAAAACAATACCAACCCAGTTATCAAATTGCACCAATTTAAAACAACTAAACCAACTTTATGCCCATATAATTCGAACTCATTTCCTTGAATTATACCCTTTTTCATTCCATTACAATGTTGTCATCAGATCATACACTAGGCTAGATTTACCTGTTAAGGCAATACATGTTTACGTTGCCATGTCTCATGCTGGTGTCATGCCAGATGAATATACAATTCCAATTGTCCTGAAAGCGGCGAGCCAAAATTTGGATTATGTGTTGGGAAAACAAATTCATGGGATTTCAATTAAACGTGGGTTGGAAACTAATATGCATTGTGAGAGTGGTTTTATTAGTTTGTATTTCAAGGTGAGCAAACTAGAAGATGCACTTAAAATGTTTGAAAAAAGTACTGACAGAAAGCTGGGGTCTTGTAATGCTGTTATAGGAGGGTTATCGCAGGGAGGACGTGCTAAGGAAGCAGTATTTCTCTTTATTGAAATGATGAGAAATGGGATTCAGCCTGATGATATCACTATGGTCAGCTTGACATCAGCTTGTGGAAGTTTAGGTGATTTAAATTTGGCTCTCCAATTGCACAAGTGTGTTTTCCAGGCGAAAAGTGTGGAGAAGTCAGATATTCTAATGGTGAATTCGCTCATTGATATGTATGGAAAGTGTGGTCGAATGGACTTAGCTTCTAAGGTGTTTACAAGAATGAAGGTGAAGAATGTGTCCTCTTGGACGTCAATGATTGTTGGTTATGCGTCACATGGACATGTGGGAGACGCGCTAGAGTGCTTCCGTTGCATGAGAGAATTTGGGGTAAGACCTAACTATGTGACGTTCATTGGGGTATTAACAGCGTGTGTGCACGGTGGGACAGTCGAAGATGGAAATTATTATTTTGACATGATGAAAAATGTATACGGGATTATGCCCATGCTACAGCACTATGGGTGCATGGTAGACTTATTTGGTCGAGCCGGAATGCTGGACAAGGCCAAGGAGATGGTGGAAAATATGCCGATGAAAGCGAATGTTGTGATATGGGGGTGTTTGATGGGTGCCTGCGAGAAGTATGGCAATGTAAAGATGGGGGAGTGGGTAGCTAATCACTTGATAAAATTGGAACCTTGGAATGATGGAGTATATGTGGTTTTGTCAAATATTTATGCAAGTAATGGTATGTGGAAAGAAGTAGAGGGGATTAGAGAGATTATGAAGAACCGAAAACTTGCTAAGCTTCCTTCTTATAGCTTGCCAGGAGTTGAATCTGGAAACCATTAGGTTCGTGAGTATTCATTGCTTGGTGGTTATATCAAAAGAAGGTTGTTGAGCAAAAACTGTTAAAGAAAATAAAGCTTTTCTGATTCCCGTTTTATCTGTTCGCGGAAGTCTCCGGTGAACAGATAAAAAATAGGAAGCTGCTATTTACATTCTCTATTTTTATATATACACCCACTTTTAAAAAGATAATTATATTATATTTTTAATTTTATATAAATATACTTAAATGGACATATATAATATTAATTAAAAATATATCGTTCTAAATCTACTAATATTTATTTTTATTAAATTCTATTAAATTTTTTAATTTTTTTTAGAATTTATGTTTAATTAAAACTCTAAAATATCATTTTCAACTAATACCAAAACTGTTAAAGAAAATAAAGCTTGATTCTATTGATATTGTAAATTGATTGCAGTTTATTTTCTTTCCTTTTATAAGCACATATTATAGGAATAGGTTAAGGAATAGAATAATGTTTTTGATTTGGTTAACCTCTGCACATATATATGTGCCTTACGTTCCAATGAAATTAATATACAAAACTTCACAGAAAACTTTTATGGTATCAGAGCACAAAACCTGGGCACCAGAATTTTAATTAAAACTCCAGCCGACTTCCATGGCAGAAAGCACGGCCTTGAATAAAAAATGGGACAACCCCAACCACCAACTTTACCTTCACCACTCCGATCAGCCCGGGGCCATCCTTGTGCCACAACCATTGGCCGAGGACAATTACAGCACATGGAGTCAATCCATGACTATGGCTTTAACAGTTAAAAACAAGGTGGGGTTCGTAGACGGCTCGATTGAGAAACCTGATGCGGGCGATGCAGATGAACTACAGCAGTGGAACCGCTGCAACAACTTGGTTAAAACTTGGCTGCTGGGATCTATGTCCAAGGATATTGCCAGCAGTGTTATCAATTGCAAGGATGCTAGAAGGATGTGGCTCGACTTACATGAGCGATTCTCACATGTAAACGCCGTCCAACTGTTTAATGTGGAGAATGAAATCCATGACTGCACCCAAGAAAACATGACTGTGGGATCTTACTTCACAAAATTGAAAGGCTTATGGGATGAACGTGACAAGTTAGCCGCATTACCGCCATGCACCTGTGAATCAGTGAAGAAGATGGCTGCATATGTAGAAACACAGAAAACCATGAAATTTCTTATGGGTTTGAACGAATCCTATGGAGGTGTTCGAAGCAATGTTTTGCTACAAGATCCATTGCCTACGGTGAACAAAGCATATTCGTTAGTTCTCCATCATGAGAAACACTCGGAGGTGACAACAGGAAAAGGCCATAATCAACTGGAAGGGGCTGTTTTTGCAGTAAGAAATTTTCTTCGTGAAACTGAAAATGAGGTGAAATGCTCCAAGTGTAACAGAACCAATCACACCACCAAGCATTGTCGCGCCCATCTTAAGTGTAGTTTCTGTGGTTGGAAGGGGCATACCATGGAGTATTGCCGAAAGAAAAAGGCAGTAGAACTGGAGTCTAACGCACCAGTTTCGAAAGGGAATCAAGCCACGTCTCGCTTGACCAATGGGAGGGAGATGAACTTTCCCTTTTCAGCCGATGAGTGCCAGCAGATTCTCAACATGTTGAAAAATAAATCTCACTCTGCAAATCAAGTTGGTAATTGCTTCAATCATGATGAACTATCAGGTAAGGCCTTCTCATTAATCTCCAATGGCACAAAAGACACGTGGATTTTGGACAGTGGATGCACCGATCATATGGTTTGTAATCCCCACCTTCTCACTCATCCAAAACCTGTCCATAACCACACTGTGGAATTACCAAATGGTTCCATGGCTCCAGTAACTCACATTGGGAAAGTTGTTTTATCTCCTCAGTTAATTCTTGAAAATGTGTTATGTGTACCATATTTTCGATTGAATTTGATCTCTATTAGCAAGTTGATTTCTCGTTCACATTTTATAACCATCTTTCTAAACCAAGTTTGTTTCATTCAGGACCTACGCTCGGGGAAGACGATTGGGACGGGAACTGAACGGGAGGGCCTCTACTATCTGGACCGAACCAAGAAAGAATCATGCCACCACGTCCAGACATCTAATCCGACCCTCTGGCACCAACGTCTTGGACACCCCTCGAATAAAGTATCTTCCTTATTTTGTTTTCCTAATTTTACGATTACATCTTGTGCTACCGATCCATGCTTAATTTGTCCGTTAGCAAAGCAAACAAGACTTCCATTTTCTTCTAGTTCTATTAATTCTACAAAGTGTTTTGATTTAATTCATATTGACATTTGGGGTGGTTATAAAATTCCTTCACTTTCTGGCGCTAAGTATTTTCTCACCATCGTTGATGATCACACTCGATGCACATGGACTTACCTCATGAAACACAAGTCAGACACTAAAAGCCTCCTAATGAAATTCATCAACATTGTTGAAACTCAATTCAGTTCCAAAGTTAAAATTATTCGTAGTGACAATGGCGCCGAATTTAAACTCGAAAACTTTTATGCAAATAAGGGTATCATCCACCAAACTAGTTGCATTAACACACCACAACAAAATGGCGTCGTTGAGCGAAAACATAGACATTTATTAAATATGGCACGCGCTATTCTCATCCAAGCCGGCCTTCCTCATCGTTTTTGGGGGGACGCTATTCTCACTTCCACATACTTAATTAACCGAACACCCACTCCACTACTTCAAGGAAAGACGCCATATGAGAAACTATTCCACAAGGTTCCAAATTACTCACACTTAAGGGTATTTGGTTGCTTATGTTTTATTTCCACTCATGCACAACACCCCTCAAAGTTTGACGCTCGAGCCTCTCGATGTATTTTCCTTGGTTATCCTTATAGCCAAAAGGGCTATCGTGTCTTTGATATAACTCAGAACAAGGTCATGGTCTCAAGGGATGTCACCTTCTTTGAAACCACATTCCCTTTCCAGAATGCTCCCCGACCAGCTGCACCTTGCAATCCTCCTCTCACCCATGACTCCACATCACCGTTAGAAATACCAATCATACCATCTCTTGTGCCTTCCTCTCCTCCCACGGAACCACCCCCATCTCAACAAAATCCTTCCTCTCCAACAAGTCCTATCTCATCCAATATTTTGACCGACAACCTCATAGAACCAGCTCCAGATTCTTCTTCCTCACAGCACAAGCCAGCCTCAATTCCCTCTTCCCCACCTGTTTATCCTTCGGTAGAGACAATGTCACCTTCACAACATGTTCTCTCTCACCGTCCACATCGCCAAACCAAACCACCTACTTATTTACAGGACTTCCACATCGAGACGGCTCTCCCCTCCAGGCCCGCTCCATCGCCATCCACGAATGTGGTCCGTTCTTCAGGTACAAATCATCCTTTATCCCAATTTTTATCTTATACACATCTTTCTACTGCTCATAAAATTTTTACTTCACAACTCACATTACTTAAAGAACCTACAAGTTTTTCAGAAGCTGTCCAATCTCCACAGTGGCGTGAAGCCATGCAACAGGAAATAGCAGCCTTGCAAGCAAATGGTACTTGGAGTTTAGTTCCTTTGCCCTCTCATAAGCGTCCCATCGGATGCAAATGGGTGTATAAAATCAAATTGCGGGCTGATGGGACAATCGAACGACATAAAGCCCGATTGGTGGCAAAGGGCTTCAGTCAAGTTGAAGGGATTGATTATAGGGAGACTTTTGCTCCCGTGGCCAAAATGGTAACTGTTCGCCTTTTACTCACTGTGGCCGCTTTGCGTGGTTGGCACTTACATCAATTAGATGTCAACAACGCCTTCTTACATGGCGATCTTGATGAAGAGGTATACATGTCCTTGCCTCCTGGTTTCGGACGAAAGGGGGAGACTCGTGTTTGCAAACTCCACAAATCATTATATGGTTTAAAACAGGCCTCTAGACAATGGTTTATCAAATTATCCACCGCACTCAAGTGCGCTGGCTTCCACCAATCTCGATCTGATTACTCTTTATTCGTCCGATGTCGTCAAGGTAACTTCCTAGCATTACTTGTATATGTTGATGATGTGATTTTGGCTGGAAACAATCTTCAGGATATAGAGAATACCAAGCTCTTCTTGTCCAAGCAATTTAAACTTAAAGACTTGGGGCAACTTAAATATTTCCTTGGCATAGAAGTTGCAAGATCAAGACATGGAATTACTTTATCGCAGCGCAAATATGCATTGGAAATCTTGGATGATACTGGATTCTTGGGTGCTAAGCCTTCTCGATTCCCTGTAGAACATAATATGTCACTCACACAATCAGATGGAAACCTCTTGGATGACGCTTCATTGTACAGAAGATTGGTTGGAAGGTTAATCTACTCAACCATAACAAGGCCAGATTTGACTTATGCTGTACATATATTGAGCCAGTTTATGGACAAACCACGAGAACAACACATGGAGGCAGCTCATAAAGTACTCAGATATATCAAGCGAACACCAGGACAAGGCATCCTCTTACCATCCACAGGTTCGCTTCAATTACGAGCATTTTGTGATGCAGATTGGGCTCGTTGCAAGGACACAAGGAGATCAACCACGGGCTATTGTATTCTACTTGGCCAAGCACCAGTTTCTTGGAGGACCAAGAAACAAACTACAGTATCACGTTCGAGTGCCGAAGCAGAGTATCGAGCTATGGCCACCACATGCTGCGAGATTACATGGTTGAGAAACATTTTGAAGGATTTAAGAGTAAATCACACGCAACCAGTCAGCTTATTTTGTGATAATCAAGCAGCTATACACATAGCATCAAATCCCGTATTCCATGAGCGAACCAAACACATAGAGATAGACTGTCACTTGGTACGAGATAAGATTCAAGAAGGAATGGTTCAGACGGCCTATATTCGAACTACAGATCAGCCAGCAGATTTATTCACCAAGCCCCTAAGCTCCACACAATTCGAAGACTTACTCAGCAAGTTGGGTGTCATCAAC